CTAGTCTAGCTGAGGCCTTTATGCAGGCAAAGTTTCAGGTCAACATTTGAAAGTATAGCTTTGCTGCCACTGTAGGCGTACAATAAAGAAAATTCACTAAGAGCTCGATATCTCCTCAGAAGCAAGCGAGAAACCCGAACTTTTTTTACCGTAAGCATAACTCACTACGGGCTACAAGATGCACGAAACCCCGATTGAAATGCGCTCCCGCACCTTGGAAGGTTCCCTAGTAAGTCTGAATTTCCAAAGATACTGATATTTCTATGTTAACTTCTCCGCACTACTCGATTTAATTAGAGCGACGTCTAATTAAAAATCCTCATGGATGTGGGTGAGGGTGTGGGTGTGGGGTGTGGATATAGGTGTGGGTGCGAATGGAGAGAAGTACAACACCTACTCTGCACCCACCCACACCCACATCCTTGTCACTTCGTTTACGACAGTAAAGCCACTAGGGACTCTCAAAGATTTGACTTGACTTGACTCTACATGATATTGATCAATTCGAGAAACTTGACAAGTTGCTGCCTGCCACTTCACACACTTCCTCCACGTTGAACTCGCGTCATGACCAGGTTCATGGCAGTGTTTGTGATGGCATAGGTTTCTTCAGATTTGGTGGTGGTGGGGGTGGCATTCAACAATCGAAATCAAAGCATTTTGAAAGCAATGAAGGTACCGTAGACACAACGAACGCGAACGAAACGAGTCAAAGCCATTTAAACATAACTCGAATGTAAGGAAAACGACACAAAATCTGTGCTCGCGTGTTCCGATGTCGATAAATGTCTTGCTGAACATTTTGATGACGTTTATCTAGAAAGCGACCTCGTCTGTCCAAAACCAATCGACATCCATCTCATTAAGCAGAGCTTGTTGCGGATGGACACAAAATTCGTGTCTCATATAGCTCTGGTTCGTATGCGATCGAACGTTCATGTCTTGCCTCTTCGATGTCGGTTACATAAAAAGGATATGAACACGATGAGAAGTTATTCAGGGTTCGAAGAAAAATTCAATCAACTATTGCGAATTGTTGACAAACTTTCTGGACAACTAGTCAATATCAGTAATAATATGCAAGAGAAATTTTCTGTTCGCCTGCATCAATTAGAAGAACAACTGAAGTGCAATAGCAATGGTCTCATTCATCCAATGGAAGCTATTCAATACAACATGAATAAAAAACTCGAAACAGTATCCAATCGATGTGAAACAATTCGAATGAATATGAGTGAAGGGAGAAAAGCAAGTTTTACATCGAATCAAAGCGATTCAACGGAACATGACTCAAGGAAGTGAGGAAATTTCACATCGATTTGAAGCAATTTATGCAAATATAACTGAACAACATGATGGTGCGGGTGTAGGTCTGGGTCTGGGTGTGTATTATGTTCATATAGAAAACCCCACCTCCACCCGCTCGTCCTCAAGTAGTCAAATCAGTTGCAGTTTCGCATTGTTAGCACCCTAGTTGAACGAATGCCATCGAAATGTAGAAAAATTGTCGATCTGATCTTGCTTACGAAAGCAGCTTTGTTATAATTTATCTTTTTAGTTAAACGATAGTAGTAACATATTTTATTAGTAATTCTTATAGAGGACGCAGCAGAAATACTACAACTATATATTCTTACGACGTACTCTGCTGCCAATCCACTATCTCAAATGTATTGTAGTACCGTACAAATTTTTGAACCCGATGGTTGTTTGTGTCTGACACGTACAAAGAGTGGGTATGGGTGTGGGTGTGGGTGTAAGTGTGGGTGTGGGTGTAAGTGTGGGTGTGGGTGTAAGTGTGGGTGTGGGTGTAAGTGTGGGTGTGGGTGTAAGTGTGGGTGTGGG